ACAAAAAAGTTACCTCCTTTTTCATTGTAACGCTTTTCATCGTGAGATTTCCGTATAATTGTGAGTTTCTACTTTGAATTATTTTCTTATAATATTGTGAGTGGAGTGCCTAATCTTCAATGGAGTAATAAGCGCAGGCAGAAATTATATAAACCGTATAAAGTAAATTTGTCGGGCTGCGTCGTTTGAAGGGGATTAAGTTTCTTTGACCTGCAAAGTGGATTAACCAAAATGGTAAGAATACGTTACTGCTATTATTAGGTCTATCGGAAATTTCTACTCGTTCCCCTTGCAACAAGTTTCAACAAGGTATACGCAGACATATTTTATCACTGAATGTAAGTACATGTTGACCCAGAAAATGAACTAGAATGAAGATCAAGGGAGACGCGGTCGTGTACCGATGAAGATGCTTTAAGCCGAGGCATTTTGTACGAATTCTAACACAGAACGATTGCTACAAAAGCACGTAAAAATTTATTGAAAGTATTTGGCGAAAGTACACTTTCCCATAGGACATGCAGAAGATGATCCGAAAAATTTCAAATAAGTGATTTCGGTCTTTCTGATAAGTCATGCTCTGGGTGACCGTCTTTGATCGACGATAATGCCGAACACCGCAGATTCCCAAAACGATTGATTCAGCTCAATAAACCATTTTGTATCATATTCGGACACTAGGATTTTGTTTTATTCTGAGAACGGATAGAAATTTCTGGTAGTCGTATTAGTATTCTGATCTCTAAAGTGAAAAACGCTTCTCCCAAATCCCAAACGTTTTGTTTTGATATTGTCAATGTTTTCTTCACTTCTTGTTTAGACAGTTTTTACTCACTTCACGCCGGTTTTAATTCACTTCACAATTTTACTTATTCCAGGGACGTTTTCCAACACAATGAAATTTCATTGAAAACCTGGATTTCCAAATCATCTTTCACTTTTCATTACTCGTTTTTCAAAAAAATATTATTAATTTTTCATTCTCTTGCACTGCCTTTTGAATACGTTTCTCACTTCAAAAGTTAGATTTTTAAGCCAAACTTCGACCCGATATTTTTACCCATAGAAAA